TACTTTCAACTTCCTCTCGCTTTCTGGTAATCTTATAAATGTAGTTGGCAGTATGAGTAGTTAGAGCTGGTTTGTTAAAGACTACAAGGAATATAAATTTCTCTATACTATTCAAATACTTAAATTGGGAGTATTTGCTTGACACAAAATCGAAAAGAACGTTTCTTTCGCTGTCATACATGGAGCAATCCACAATAAAATGTACCTCGTCTTCTACTTTACCTAAACTACAATAATGGCAGATTCTTTGCTTTAATGAAAAACTCATTCTGTTGACAAATTATTACATGGCACAAAGGTATCAACATCAATTCATACAACGTTATTAACGTCAACAACTATATACTGCTTTACTTCGACACTTTCGCATACGTATAAGAACATAAGGCACATAAAGCATTAGCTTCATTATGTTAACGTTACCCAGATATGTTTATTGAATGAAATATTTTCAGACATTTTTCTATTTCTAAGTTCCGGAGTCATCAACGTACTTTCTGTTGTATATTTTCTACAAATTGTTCCATGGTAACGGCGATATCTGTGTTAATTTCGTTTTCCCTTCAATATCTCCACCAACCTGAGGCCACAGCAAGTAATTTTTATGGATGACATCGGCGCGTGCATTAATTTTCGCCTGATTTTGGAAAAAAAACAAGAAATTTTGTTGCCTTCTGACAATGGTCCACATACCGGAAATGGGCAAAGATGTTACCATGCTGGAAGGTGGATGGCGGATAACTATAAAGAGACAAGTAGAGACAACTATAAAGACACAACAAATAGAGAATGAAGTTTTAGTGTTCTTTTCAACATGGAACATGTGGTTTGTAACGTTACAGCATTAGTATAGCGTTACCACTATAACGTTACAAACCACATTTTCCAAAAAAATCATTCTCTATTTGTTTTCAGATTCAACCCATAGTAATTTAATTAATGTTGAGCATAAGATGCCCCAACACCTCAAAACACAGTGAAAAACAAGCTGTTTAACGTCACCAGGATCATTCCGATGCCTTCCAGTCCTATGCAAATGAGGGTTACCCCCCCTATTTTCGCATTGCATTCTGGGGATGGGAAACTGGTGAATGGTTTATTGTGACGACTCAAAACCACCATACAATGGGAGCTTTTTGGCTGATTTGTAGTACGGCATTACAAAGAGAGAATATTTACACTTCATTTATACTGTTATAAGTTATATTGTATACTGTTATTTGTGATTGAAAACCTTCTATTATCAGTGGGATCCTTTGTCTTCCTCTGTCTTCAAAAAATAAGTAAAACCCAGTAGTTTTTACTACTAGTTTCTTAGTAGTTATCAGTAGTTCTATGTGTACTAATTGTCTGCTTTTTATACCATATGCTTATTTTGTTCCTGCAATTAACCCTTGGGCATGAATTTGCAATAAAACAATTATATCATGCTTACTTGGGATTTAGAAATAACGTCAGTGATGGTCTGGTAAACCTCCTCTGACGTGACGGAGTGGATGTCCAGTGTCGACCGCCATCCCGCGGGCCACCACCCGGGCGATGTTGTCGTGTTGGTCCCCGAACAGGGGCATGCCGATCAGCGGCACCCCGTGGTACATGGCCTCTGATATGCCGTTATAACCACAGTGTGATACAAAC